CATGAAGAGGACTTGTACCCTCAGCGACACTTGCGGACAAGGTTAGAATGTGTTCCTTGGGGGAAGGCCACAATGGCTCAGGGTTCAGCAGTTGACTAACCCGAAATGCTGAGAGGAAAGGCCAGCGACGATTCCATCTGAGCCAACTCAAACTTGAAGCCAGCCACCATGATGCGTCTGTCTTCCTCCCCTTGGTCATATTTTTCATTCAGCGTCTTCGAGGCCTGAGATAGAATACTCGTCACGCGAGTCTGTGCGGCAAGGACGATGTCGCCCTGAGTTTTGCCATACTTTTCGAGAAGATCACAACATCTGGCTGTCCACGATGTGTATGGGATGTCGATGCCCTTGCCGCGTTTCCAAGTAGCGAGGAAGCTAGGTAGCCTGGTAAGCAAGTGGAATAACTGCAATACATGTAGGGACAACTCACGACGACACTATGTAAAAGTAGCCCACATACACCCGTATTCGGTCAAGTTGATCGTCTGTGAGATTGGGCGTATCTGACCACATGTTAAGGTCTGGCTGTTCTTGATCCAGCTCCAGGTCATGAACCATATCTGCAGCCATTCTCATGTATTGGAAGGCTTGTTTGTTTTTGGGCCTTAGATGAAAGGGATACCTGTTGATGTTAGTAACAACAAGAAGAAGAAGAAGATGATGAAGGAAGAGAAGCGCCATTGAACATAAAGTTTGTCCTGGACAAACATACCAAGCACAATATATGAGTAAACCTTGAAGTAGCTCCAGGCTCCTCTCGCCGCCGGCAACAAACTTCAACCCCAGCACTTTTCTAAATTCCTCATCGTACAAAGTATGACCCTGTAGCGTCTTGGAGCCAGAAGTAGACGACAGTATAGACAGCAGGACAAACGGCTTCGCCGCAGCCATTTGCCTAATAGGAGTATCCTCCGACAAGGTGATGAAGGGAAAGTATGTCAACATGGAGTGGAAGGACGTCAAGAGTGACTCCGCAGATGCCACGTTAAATGACGGCTTTGTGTGAAAGTCATGAATAGAATGGGACTGTGCGGATGAGGACGTCGGGGTCTGAATGCTCCGCCCAGAGTCCGGAAATGGAGACATTTCTTCGTCATCCTCGGGAAAGAGCCTGTCGATGACTACATCGTGCGTGTCGCGCAGAGTCTCAAAGTTGTCGTCGATTTCTGACCCTGTGGACACGGAGAAGTCGATGCTGAATGTGCTGGATGGACCAGGGGGAGCAGCTTGAGCCTGCTGGAGTTGTTGGTCCTGGTGGCTTTTCAACTCGCACATTTAGTATGACTGACGATGACGATTGGGAGAAGAGTGATAGACCTACCTGGCATATTTTCTAGGGCGACGAGGTCGCGGAGTAGTTCGAGAGATGCATTCTCTTTTGGACTCTAGGCATCTGGCATGATTGTTAGCAGCGTCAAGGGATGATGATGATGATGTGGCATGATGCTAATAATGCTCGCATGGCTGGACTCTACTTTTTGCAGACCCCCGGCTGGTCGCTGGGCTGGCACCGGATCTTAGTGGCTCGACAGGCTTCGCATGCAGTAGCCACTCTCTTTCGAGCCGGGTTGTCGCCTGTTCCAGCATCCAGGTTCATCGTATCGGCGCCAAGTCTGGGGAAGTTCAGGTGTTGACGGGGTCACTCGTTCATGCGGCACATTGGTTCGTAGGGCGACTTGCTGGCAGTACCCGTCCGTCTGCTTTAGTTGACGACGAGTCCAGTGCAAGGCTCATCTCTGCTACAGTCCAGGCGAGTAGGAAGTGATGTGGAGGGTGATGGGTCGTCCGAGTGTGAGTGACGTCGGTGGGAGGATGGATATCCGGACTCGGTCGGATATCTGGACGGGATGTAACTTTATGCACATGCATTACGGAGTAGGTAGTCATGTATACAGGTCTACTCCACTTGCCGCCATCCGTACGGACCAAGGTGTACAGAGTACATGCGATGATCCGAAAACAATAATAAATCGCAGGAGCATTAAAGTAAAGGGAAATGATTCGTAAATATTACCCTGGCATGGTTGCGCGGTAAAAATATATACAAGTTCCATGCCTTGATAGAAAGATGGCATCTTAGTTATTATTAGTTTAATACATGGTGAACGTCCAAGTGTTTGCCCGCCACTTCACAGTCGAAAACCCCGGACGACAGGCCCCTACCCAGCAAAGTAGACTCATTAGCATCCGACGGCAAGTCCAACAAGTGGGATGATTGGTAGTCAGGGCCAGCTACACTGAGCAAGAATAGTACTGGGATCAGGTCAGTTACAATGACTAGGTTCGTGGCTCGTAGACGGTACGAGAGTGTTCCATCACACGTTGGTCAACTCGACGAAATACAGTAAACGCTGTAACTCATATTTGACAGCATCAAGTGTCGCCCAAGTATAGACATATCAGCGCCCATTACTCAACGGGTATAAACCCCAAACACAACGCCGCCGCCAAACACCAAGCTATAATACAACGCGACTCAACTCAATCCAGTTGGCTCATTTTCAGACCAGGATTTTTGGTCTCTAGCGTAGAGTCCACAAACATTTGCAACCGACTAGTCAGACTCGACGCTTCTTCCCTCACAGTTTTCACTCCGTGTTTGCCTTGTCTATGAGCCGCAATGTTCACGACGGCGCACCGCTCAGAACAATACACCGTAGCCGACTTCGAGCCCAGACACGCCGTGCAGAGAACCGCCTTTGATATCGCATCTCCCATTTCGACATCTTCGTCGGTCAGCTGTACACATTTATCGCCAGCTTCGCAGTCATGCCGGGACTCAACGTGCTTATCCTATATCGCCATTAGCACTGCCGTAATTGATTGCTACATGACAAAAGATATCCACGTCTATTACTCACATGGCCCTTGGAGTAGCATTTCTCTGAGCAGTAAACTGTCAGCTCTGCGTCACCGCCAATCTGGACAAGTGCCTGGCAAAGAGTACATGACAGAACGTCATTGGTGTCAAGTCTGTTCCCACAAACCAAACAGGGCGGTAGGTCGTACAACTCGGAACAAGCATTTTCAGTCTGAGCTCCCCGCAGACTCTTAGTCTGCATCTTGTTCTGCTCAAATGCTGTTTTGGCTCTTCGAAGCTCATCCAGGCGCCGTTGGTGGCTCTCGCGCTGCGGCTGTGCGTTTCTGCTCTGTTGAAAGTCCATGACGATTTTGTCGATAATGTCCTCGAGCGTCATGCCCTCGCTGTTTCTATACTCATCAAGATATTTCTGCGCGTTTGTAAAGGCTTCGCCTGTTGACTGGTTGATAAAGAACTCGGCGATGTATAGCTTCTTCAATTCAGCAGCGTCATCTTTAACGGCGCCTGCCTTTTCTGCAAAGTTGTCAACGCCATCAGGCCAGTCAGAGGGCTTCCCAATGCCCTCCAGCATTGTCTTTACCAGCTCCTCTCGCGATCTATCCGGATCATCCAGCATGCCGCGTAGCTCTTCCTGGTTGAATCCACGATCAGATACGGCGATAAATTCCGGGTATCTCCTCAGAACCCAGCGGTACCAAGCCTCCTTTTCGGATTCTATCCTGGCTTCAATAGACTTGAGGCTCCGCTTTCGCTCTTTGGCATCCTGAAATAGGCCGTCGAGTTCGTGCAAAAACGCCCTTCTCTGTGCAAACCATTCTCTGTCCTCACTCTCGCCGTATCTAGCCCGTACTGTGTCCATCAGCTTGCCGTAACATTTCTGGCATTCGGTGAAGTTTTCTTTGCCGCATTCTGCCTTGCATGATGCCTTGATGGCACCCACTGCATCGGCACAAAGCTTCTTTTGACGCCTAGCAACGTTGAGTTCCGTCCAGTGCTCGGGCATAGCATGGGCTGACGGAGTACCCATTTTGGCTAATGTGAGGTAATATTTTTTGGGGACCGGAGGGCCAATGATTTCGCATGTATAGAAAAGAGACCTGATGCCAGCTATTTATCCTATAGGTGTCTGATGGCATTCAAGTTGGAAGGTGGTGACAGTGAGACGTGTAACGGAGCCGGTAGAGTGAGTCTTTGAAATGAGGGCTCTTGTTGACGTAGGAGAAGCTACTTCTGAATGCATTCCGGGATTGAAGTCTCTTTTTCAATTTTTTTTTAGGCAGGATGGCATAATTGGCGATGAAATAGTAAACTTGAACATCATCTTGTCAATAGTAGCCGGGTTGAGAGATGTGCCAAGTGCCGAAGTTCAAGCGGCGACTGACCCACAACAACTTTCTGCAAAGCAACCCGGTGACAGTATCGCCGCTGTCTCCTGCAAAGAGCTCGTACAGTATCTAACGAGACGTGTTCCCGATATTCCAGAACTCGAATCGCCGGCTGTATATCAACAGTAGTATTCTGCATAAACTACCGCCACTCTACTGCCGAAAATGGTGTGTTCAACCACGAGATATGCCAAAACACAACTAACAGCAAACAGGCTGACAAGCTCCGCACTCAACAAGAGCTCGAACGCCTGCAGGCGAAATACATTGGAACCGGCCACCCCGATACGACAAGCTGGGAATGGCGAACAAACATTCAGCGCGACACATATGCTTCCATCGCCGGCCATCGACCGTTGTTGTCCTATGTAGCTCTTGCCGAGAACGAGCCGCTGGTTAAGGTTCGCGCAAGAATGATTCGGGTACGAGGCCTCCTTATAATTATACTGTTGTGCCAAAACTATCAGCGGGCTAACTATGAAGTTACAGAAAATGATCCAACCCGCCGGCCCGCCGCCACCTCGTGAGGAATAACGTGTCAAACTGTGAGGTCCGGGAAGGAGAGAAATGCATTAATGGAGTTTTTGGGTATTGACTGTGTTTCTGGTGCATTAGAGGGTGTTGCTGGGGCGTTTTGGGGGGCAAATATCCGCGCGATTAGAATAAATATATGACCATGGATCGTGAGGTTCCAGGATATTCACTGTCCGTTCCATCAAAGTTGTCTGAAACTAGTTCGTTTCCAGGTTTCATGGGCATCATTAGCCCAAGGTTGCGGCTGGTCGTCTTCATTCTCATTCTCCCCTCGTTTCCTCTTCATTTCCTTCATCCCTCGTCGTTGGCGACTCCTTTATGCCAAGACTAGCGTTCAGCTTTTTCTCCAATTCCTCTGATGATCCCCCGTATAACTCTCGCACCAATCCACGTACACCATCCAGCCCAATTTCTTCTTTTGCCCTAGGCCCAACATGCCATGTAATGGTTTGCTCGCCATCTTGGCCGAGCGGTGGGCGTTCTACCCTCTTTATGACATAGCCATGTTTTTCCATTTTCTTCAGCGTCGTTTCCGTCTTCTCACTTGAGACATTCTGGTCGGCATTTAAACTAATAAGATATCGATTCAGTTTCTGTTCGCTTAGTTCGCCGCCATTTAGCCAGATGAACGACACAACCAGTGTATAGAACGCAACATATGTTGCTTCATCGTCCGAGGTAGGGATTATGGACGGCTTTATGATGGCTGCACTGCGATATTCGTCTGGCAAAGTTGACGTCAAAATGTAGGCGCCAGATCCAATTTTCGCCTGTGAATTTGACTTCATCGCTATGCAAATGGGTCAGCCTTCCTTTTCTTCGAAGCTGTCGAGCCAAAACTACCAGCTGTTCGGGCGTACCTTGTCTTTTCTCTTGTAGGGACATTTTCTCTCTAACTGGAAGCTCTCGGAGCTCCATGCCCCAAACAAGTTTTAATTGCTTTTGTGCTAGCGCGAAAATTCTTTTAAAAGATCGCCCCTGGTTGCCAAGAACTTGGATAGCGTCAGTATGTATCGCATTTCTTTAGATACACAAGTTTTCTTTACCTCTCTCCTTAATACCGTCACGGCGTATGGGCGTCCGTGAATATTCGCATGATAAGGCATAGCGAACGAGCTTCTTGGCGAGCTGATCATCTGCACTGCTGCCAGCCTCACCATCGACATCCATCCCATCCTCGGAGTCGTTATCGAAATCATTATCGGGATCACGGCGATTCGCTCGCTGCCTAGACGGTAGGCCATCTTCTGGGTCATCATCCACCTGCAAAAGATATTATTAGCCACGCAAGCGACTCACTGGGGACGTAGGGTCGTACAGGCCGCCTTCTCCTTTGTTTCAGGGGCATTTTTCCTTTCACTGAGTAAGCGAAAAATGGTACCACTAGATTGTGGCAAATGAAAAACGTCTTCAGGATAATTAGAACTCGAAATTGGATCGCATGTCGTGTAGTTGATCTTCCATGTGAACCGCGGGGCATTAAGTGGACGGACGCGATGCAAGGTACATACGCGTCTGCATTTGTGACATCAATTTAATCGTGCCCGCCCCACTTATTTTAGGTCGTGAGGGCAACGGACCACCTAAAATACGTGGGGCGGGCACGATTAATATGGAGCGCTCTACGGAGTACGGCTGATCATTCCTATCGATAAGCCCTGACGTCGCAAATTTCCAGGAGCTCCTGTACGGCCATTTGGGATCCCAACTTGATGCGACGTCAAGCAAAACAGCTTTTCATTCCCTGCTGAACCCGTTGCATCGTTTGCGTTTTTAATTCCCCCATGCTCGCGAGGGCGGTACGACTGCCGCGCATATGCCTGGTATGCCGTCTGGGCATACTTCGCCAAGCCGCTGCGGTTCCAATTCGATGCCCATCGAGCCCTACGAACAGACGACAAGTACGATATGCTTCCGATTTTTCGCCGCAGAGTAAGGAGAGAATAGAGGCACTTATATCAGGAGCGCTTGACGATATTGAATCGCATTCCAAGCATAGCGGTGTAAAAAAAAACCGACTCAATCAAAAAAGAAAGGGCCAGCAGCGAGGCGATGTTCATGATGAACCTGCTGAATGGGAACTTGATCTGGGGAAGGACTCTGGCTTGCCTGACACTGGCGATACGAATGTGACCGAAAAAGCGAATGCCTCTATTAAAAATGCGCCGATTCAAGAAACTGCAACCAGCAAGGAACCATCAACACCTCCCCGACCGATGTCAATGCCTAGAAGCCAGCCTCATTTCGATACAGAACAGCTGCGCGACGAATTCGTGTACCGTCACAGTCTGGGCATTGACGCTTTGGGAAAACCTGTCGATGCAATTATTATCAAGAACCCAAACAAAATGAGGGATACTAAGAAGCGAACAACTCGGAGCATGAAGGAAGCTCAACATGTTGATGGGACCGTGGCCCGTTTCACTTGGCAGGACGTTATACCCCAAAAGAAAGAACTAGAAGAATCAGACTTGTTGAAAAACATTGAGGAGATACGACCCAAAGACACCTTCATTGTCAGAAGGAAAGATTTTGACAAGTTGGTTGATTACCTGGTTGATGGATTCCTTGCAGCACAGCTTCAAACATACTTTGACCGTGCAAACTGCAACAAGGTTTTGGTTCATGCTGATACATATCCGTACTCGTGGCTAACTGAGCAAAGTCCATGGGCTGCTGCCGAGACATTGGATTTGAGCTCGCACAAGGGGAAGCAACTGCAAGCAGTCGCAATTCTGACTGGAATATGGAAACTGGAGATTCAGGAGCATATAGAAGGAATTGGGAGAACTGTAGTCTGGCTGAAGCCAGATATTTTCAATCTGATTGCCAGTAAGATCCACCGCGTGTAGTATTAAACTGCTTGGGCTAACATATTCCCACAGATCCCCAAAGCGGCATCATCGGGAGACTCAGCGCCGATTTCTTGGACAAGTCAAACAAGGAAATAATAACTTCAAGACCAGAAGACTACAGGCTAAGCATTTACGCCCGCAAGTCAACTGTTTCTACGATTTTGGCACGACTCGACGAGATTGTGCAGACGATAAAATCTCAAACTATTTCTGTTCAACGAGTAAATCAAGAAAATCTAGAAACATCAGTCTTAATGGAGCTTGAGAAAATAACAAAGACTGCTTTGAGGTATAATGCAACAACTTCCGTACGTTAAAACTTGTATTACCTCTAGCATGTAGCGAACACTCGGCTAATGATGATAAAGACGCTCGATGTATCATGGCTCGCCGAAACTGATGTCTCCAACGGAAAGACAGAAGGTCCAGCTGACATTGTTTTGAGATTACTAATTGGCCGAGAAACCTCATCACAACACGCAGATGTTCATATTCTTCCGAAAACTCGGCAAAAGAAGGGGGTATTCCTAACCCATCAAAGGGATAAACGAGGCATGGCTTGGAGAGATAAGCTCCGGTACTGGTCTCGCTACGTCAATCCTATCGGTAAATCGACAGAGGAGACTATGAGCCCGGGCTTCCGCGACAGTATCATCCTGGAGCAACCCAACGCGTCATCTCTCAAAGAAAATCTTGAAGTCACAGCAGTATTTGGCCACATCCTGCATACCAAACAAAGTATTCGCACAGATAATCTGACCAAATCTCGCCGGGTACTTTGCCCGATTATTCCCCATCCTGCCGCTCTTACTTCAATCACAGCCGACACGTCTGCTCCCAGTACCCAAAAGACAGCCATCGTCCTCAATTTCGCGCCGGAAAGCCCACCAAAAACCTCCCCCCCAGGCACCTCTCAACTTATTCGTCTACGGTTACCAATCAGCCCGTTCACCGACCTATCCAAATTCTCATTCCCGGATGCATCAGTTCTGGAGGCAGTAATGCCGTGGCAAGAAAGCGACATTATGCTTCCGGACAACAGCGTAGACGTCCGCCTGACTCAAAAGCGACTGGTTTCTCTCGATGCCCATCAACATTCTCTCCAGGCATTTTTGCAAGCTTCCGATTTCAACCTCCTGCAAGGGCGTCTCAGAACACCCAGTAGAGCCAGCTTTGCTATACCACGTTTCTCATCGATTGAACAGAGCACCTCGTCAACAGACCTAGTCGCAACACCATACATGTTCATGGGCCTTGAGATCCACCAAACCATCGACATGGAATGGCAATCCCACACCCTTCGCTACAGCAGCATTGAAGCCGGACAGCATGGCGGACAGCAGCAAATGCTATCCCTAGTAGCCGGCCCCCCCGGCGACCAAGGCAGTGCTACCACTCAACAATTACAGAGTTTCTTGGAACTGGTTGAGGAAACAGCTTGCGGAGCACACTTTTCATGGGACCAAGGCTACAGACTGATGAGCGGGCGGTCCGCCGAGCAATTTAGCTGGGATATGATGGACACGGAATATGCCAAGCAAGATGCTGCTACTGCAGAGGAAACAAATCAAGGGTTGGGGCCAGAACACGGTCGCGAGGGCCAAGAAGCAGCGTCGCCTCATCAGCCTCAGCAAGCTCTCGACACCACCAAGATGAAGAATGAGGTGACGGATAATTCTCAGACGATCCAATCGTTGGATGAGTCGCTACACAAGACGGAATCCACGCCTGATAAATAGACATTTGTAAAACTAGAAGAAAAAATACTTGTACAATAGTTAACCAGCATATACACTTTCTAATCAAATGACATCATGAAGACAAGTATAAGCCCCCAGTCAAAGTGGGACAGGAATGCCCCATCCATCAATTTCAAAGTGTTTCCCCACGATCGGGCGACAGGACCACCGATGGGTGTTGGACTGCGTATCGAAACTTTGCGATCCCAGCCCGGCGCGGCGGAGCACACGAATGGGTATTGTGCAGGCTCTATCGTGCTGTTCGGCAGCAAGTTTTACACGCATCGACGCATCGAAGAACGGCAATATGCATCATATGGAACACATCTCATTCACATGTCACATGGCGCTGGGTTAACAGGTTGATTGTTTTTTTTTTGACCAATTTTTTTTTGGAATCACTTCTAGACTCTATTTTTTTTTCACTTCCTTAGCACATCATGAAACCAATCAAACCTTGTTTCTCATTAAATGTGCCACCTAGACAAATAGCCGAGTGCTCATCCATAGCAAAGTAGATCATTTCGTCGTAGAAGTGAGAACATTACGTCCCGGTATCCAGCCCAAAAAGCAACACAAGATTTCAACGACTTTGATCGCTTATTTCTTGCCAGCCTTGGCAGCAGACTTGGTGACCTTGCCGGAACCAGCAGCAGCCTTCTCGACGGACTTGATGACACCGACAGCGACGGTCTGACGCATGTCACGGACGGCGAAACGACCCAGGGGAGGGTAGTCGGTGAAAGCCTCAACGCACATAGGCTTGGAGGGAACCATCTTGACGATGGCAGAGTCACCAGACTTGATGAACTTGGGGGCAGACTCAACAGCCTTACCGGTACGTCGGTCAATCTTCTCCTTGATCTCAGAGAACTTGCAGGCAATGTGGGCGGTGTGGCAATCGAGGACGGGAGCGTAACCAGCACCGACCTGGCCGGGGTGGTTGAGAACGATGACCTGGGCATCGAAGGAAGCGGCACCCATGGGGGGGTCGTTCTTGGAGTCACCAGCAACGTTACCACGGCGGATTTCCTTGACGGAAACGTTCTTCACGTTGAAACCAACGTTGTCACCGGGGACACCCTCGGTAAGCTGCTCGTGGTGCATTTCCACGGACTTGACTTCAGTGGTGACGTTGGAGGGAGCGAAGGTAACGACCATACCGGGCTTGAGGACACCAGTCTCGATACGGCCGACAGGGACAGTTCCAATACCGCCAATCTTGTACACATCCTGGAGGGGAAGACGGAGGGGCTTGTCGGTGGGACGCTTGGGGGGCTCAATGGCGTCAATGGCCTCGAGGAGGGTCTTGCCGGTGGACTTGCCAGCCTTGGTCTCCTTCTCCCAACCCTTGTACCAGGGGCAGTTGGTGGAGGCCTGAAGCATGTTGTCACCGTGGAAACCGGAGATGGGGACGAAGGCGACGGTCTTGGGGTTGTAGCCGACCTTCTTGATGAAGTTGGAAGTCTCCTTGATGATTTCCTGGTAACGGGCCTCGGACCACTTGGTGGTGTCCATCTTGTTGATGGCGACAATGAGCTGCTTGACACCCAGGGTGTAGGCGAGGAGAGCGTGCTCACGGGTCTGGCCATCCTTGGAGATACCAGCCTCGAACTCACCAGTACCGGCAGCGATAATGAGAATAGCGCAGTCAGCCTGGGAAGTACCAGTGATCATGTTCTTGATAAAGTCACGGTGACCGGGAGCGTCTGTGGGAGGGGCATTAGCATTCAATTTAGGAGAAAAGTATGCGGTCAGTTTGCGCAAGTCGACATACCAATGACGGTGACATAGTACTTGGGAGTCTCGAACTTCCAGAGGGCAATGTCGATGGTGATACCACGCTCACGCTCGGCCTTGAGCTTGTCAAGAACCCATGCGTACTTGAAGGAACCCTTGCCGAGTTCAGCGGCTTCCTATACAGCGATCCAAATTAGTTTCACGTTTTTTCCTCTGAAAGCAACGACAATATTGTGGTTTCAACAGCCAGAGACACACAGAGACACCCTCGACAGCTGGCGGGGTATGGTGCCCCACCAAAGTCCAAGATAAGGCCCCGCGAAAATTTTCGTGTCACAGTGAGGGGTAATGGCCGACAGGCAGCGGGAAACTCAATAATGTTCATCGCCAAACAATAAAGATCATTAATCGGAGTGGTTTGGCTTACCTTCTCGAACTTCTCAATGGTACGCTTGTCGATACCACCGCACTGGTAGATCAAGTGACCAGTGGTGGTAGACTTGCCGGAGTCGACGTGGCTGTGAGGACCAGTCAGTTATCACAAACTCGGGACGGCGAAGAGTGTAGGCTCCGAAACATACCCCTACGACAAGCAAGTCAGTAAACAGCTTCTACAAGGTTCGAAATGGAGGCAGGCGACTTACGATAACGACCACGTTGATGTGAGTCTTGTCGTCCTTACCCATTTTGAAGGTATTAGATTATTGAGATTTGCAGTGTGTCCTGACGGAAAGTGTCTTGTCAAAAGAGTCAGCAGTTGATATCTTCCATCCGTCTGCATCAATGATGTTGATGAAGAAGAGGATTGTTGATGAGGACCAACTTACAAATTCGCAGATCGGATGCTTGAACCGGGTATGCGAGACGAGGAGCGAAAAGAGAGAAAAATTCGCAAAGAGGTGGTGGGAGGAGGAGATTTAAAAAAGATGAGTGGAGGAGGGGTGGAGTGACTGATGCTGGCTGCGGCGCGGGGCAACAGAGCAACGAGGGGAGACCACTTTGACCAGCTAGCCCTAACAGGCCAGAAGTTTTTTTTCTCCCCTCTGGGCTGCACCAAAGTCACTCGCAAGATTTTTTTTTCCTTTTTAGCGCCATGTTGTGCGTGGCGCAAGCCAATCAGCGGCCTGGCCTTGGCCTGGTGCTTCGTCATGTACCAGATGTACCTAGGAGTCCTTTACTACCAGTTCACCTGGTCACGATGGCGGGCGAGCCTTGGAGGGGCAAAGAGGCCGTTGAGGTTTGCATTAAGGCTGCCCTTGGAAACGACAAAGCCACGGTGATGCACAAGTGAGGAAAGCTATAGGATGCGAATTCTTGACTGGAAAGCCGTAAGCTTATTCGAATATGAAGATGCACCATGAAGTACAGCTCTTTCTTCCTCTTGATGCAACGTAGGCGTTGCCGCGCCGCGCCGCACATCGTGATGTGTCTCATGCTGTAGCTGCGACAATTCTGCGGACTCAACGTGGCATTCTGAGCGCAGAGTTACTGAAATTGGATTTAATAGGACGAGGCTGTCTTTCTCTCGGCGCTTCGAGTCTCGAATAAAGATGCCGGCACGAGGAACCAAGAGCGGCGTCCTCTTGGCACAAATCACCAACGGCCTTCCCTCAAACCTCATTCATCGTCCGAAAAAGAAGGTACATGGCGTCTGCTAGCAGGTACAAAGTGGAGACGAGATTAGAACTAAGAAGAGAAAAAAATTCAGAGGGACCCCGATTTTCCTGTGAGACAGAACCAGTCAGTTTCATCAATCGTTGCTGGCGGCCGGAGCTGTGTCTGCCCAACCCCTCCTTAGCGCAAGGCCCAAACAGAAAAAAAAACTAAAAAATTATCAGAAACCCTCTCCGGTACCAAGTTTCCCGTTGCCAGTGGTCGAGTCGTACTCAGTGAGTTGTTTGTGAGGAGACTTGACGGCGTGAGCCACGGCAAACGGTTGGGCAACCTGAGGCCATAGCATTTTAACCCTCTGATGGATTCAGACTTCGGGGTATACGCATGGGTATCTGGAGAATAGAGACATGATTGTATGTATTTTGATCTCAGCTTCAATTTGCCGGTTTTGACATCTCACAACCTTCTCCCTCGCAGTGAGTCCAGGCAAGCCCCACGTCTTGAGCCCGCATGTTCAAGATTGAAGCGTTCTGGTCGTCTGGGACACCAAACACCTGCATCTCAAGTTGCCGCCCCTCTCCAAACGTCATGCCCCACCATTGGGCCTCGCCACCCCTCTTCTTCCATGTCGTCGATGCAACATGGGCAGATACGTGATCTCACGGCGGATCCCATGAGACGATGTTAAAAAAGAATGCTGTGAGTCTTTACCGCTCGAATCACCCGTCTCTTTAGGCAGAAATTCCCGACAAATCATTCAGGTGGTACGCGCGCAAAAGGCGGTTTAGGCCGCGAGGGCCTCCGGCAAACCGCCGTATTTTTTTACCCCTCCATCCAAGCTCTTTTTTCATGGCGCACGAGACGAGGCTTGCAGCCAAAAATCTGCAAAAAGCTGACACCTGAGCTCAAGCCAACGTTCCCTTGGGGCGGGGCCAAGGGGGGCCAAGGGGGGCCAAGGGGACACATGTAGTGAATTGACGCCTGTTGTTCAAGCTTCAAGGGCCCTGGCAGACCTGGTCCCCTCGCAAACTGAGTTGGCAACGCTTCGTGTTGTACAGGAGGCGACATCTGGACTTGTTCCCAGCCACAGTGGGGCTGCGAGGCTGTAGCGGACTGGTCTGGACACTTGTGCAGGCAGGCCTTTATCTTTCAATTTTAGATTTGGTCTGGTTGCAGTACAGTTTCGTATGAAAACAGATCTTTATTGGTGCTTTGGATGCACCTTCCCAACACATTCCATTTATATTTTATATTATTTCGACTTCATACAGTATATCCCATGTAGTAGATTACAATACGATGCAAAATACTCCGTACAGCGTAAGCTAGAAACCCCCATTCAATGCAAGCATGCCCCAAAGTTAAAAGAACCATGCGTTCGGTCTGCACATGTGAGACAGCTCGCATCTCAGGGTCTCCGTCTGCATTCCATAACGACGTGCATGTCTCCTTCGAGTTGGCCCTGCACCGGGATTCCGAATAACATCACTGCGTGCCTAAAATTGGAGGAGAGCTTGCTGCCGTGCCTTGTGAAAACAAGGTTTCCGGATGGCTATTGCTGTATTACCATATTTCATTTGCCGAGCTGCTGCCCAGCAGTTGCGAGTCGCCGAGAACATGGAGCCTAGATTTACATTCAGACAACTTGCTAATTGCACTTACAAGTGATACGATTCTATCCAAGGTGTAAGGGAATGAGATCTATAAATCATCTGTGCGGAAACGAATGAGCGACACTATTATTTGTGTCTCAGTAAATATTGTGAGGTACTATCCCGCTAACGATTAGTGATTTTGGTTAGGGACGCATTGGCATCGAATATAATGGGGTGGCAATACCAGTGCCGTATTGAGCGCCTAAGCTGATTCTTGGAATGCCATGGGGTCCTTTTATAGATGCCTGAAGTGTCGGCCTATTGGTATGGAATTATTCACCTGGATCGCTACCTGATTATCGAAATCACTTGCGGGCCAACAGCTGATGATATTGGTGTTTTCTTCCAACCCTACATGACCAGTTGTACAAACAGCGTGGGCCTGGTCGTACCCAAACTAGAGAACCATGGCATACCAAAGAAAACACCGTACAAACAGGCATTGCAATGCGCGACTACATGATATATATATATATATATATCATATATATATCAAAGTGTGGATTGTTTCGCTCTGTAGTTAAAGTGATATTACAAGCATGGTGCGAGTATCGGTACATGTATATCTATATATATTATATACAAGCCCTAATGGGAAATATTATCCCAGTGCGCAGCTGTACCCGGCCCATTTCCCGTCTTCAGCCGCTAGATAACTGTACACGCACCAACCATAGCTATTGTAACATTTATTTACAGTTCTCATGGCCTATTATAATCCTATTGTTTGATACATGTGTCTCAATGTCGTCATGTCGCCGGTTTCGAACCGCTGATCGCGGTTTAATATATCCAAGGTCGCTCTTGCCCGCAATTCAACCCTCCTTCCCAACATTGAAGTATTCATGCTACAATCGTAAATTCACTTCGTCAAGTGCTTCCATCTACCACCAACTCCACGTTGTCATTACTGATCCTTGCCGTTGGTCTCTCCAGGATTCGCCTTGTCCTTTATAGATCCTCTAGGCGTCTTGAGGCCCATCAGCACCGCGGCTGAAACCACAGCTATACCGGTAGCTCCCATGTTGTACGCATATTCTCGACCCGCCCACCAGTACACACTTGTAAACAGGATCGGCCCAAGTCCACGTCCCAATTGTCCCCAACTTCTCAGAATGCCTAGCTTCCCCCCACGTTCGTCTTCACTGGCCTCGAAGCTGCTCAGCGCGTTTAGTCCAGTCACCACCGTCGCCGATGTCATTGCAAGACACGTCGCCGCAGCATACAAGCCACCGATACCACCGACTCTTCCTAAGAGGAAGAAGGCAGCCAAGCACGAAATAACGCCGATTCTTACGGAGAGCAACGGAGGAAGTCGACGAGTCACTCCGCCTTGGAGAATAGATGCCACAAGACCAATATACCCCAGCAATCTCCCATTTTTACCAGAAGTGAACTCGAACAGTTCATAAGTCATAAATGATAGCGAACTTTCCATTCCTGAGAAAAAGAGAAGAAAGAAGAAATGAACTGCATTGAGGACAACGTGGGAATTTGTTCTCTCCGCTGGTTTGGCCTTTGTCTTCTCCGTCCTCTTCTCAGACTTGGCTTCGTTTCCAATAAGAGATGGCAGAGTTTCCGGTAAGAAAAAGTATAGGTATATCGTTTCGATTACAATAAGCGCCAAGCTAAAAGATGCGGCGGTTGCAAAGGGGTTTGCAGCGACGTGAGATTTCGTGCTTAGCCAAGCGCCCAATCCAGGTCCGAATGTGAAGGCAATGGAGAAGCAAGCTCCGATCACCGCCATGGTGGACCCTCTAGTCGATTCGTCTGAGATATCACTTGCCATTGCAGTTGCTAACTGGACATTTCCCTCAGATAGACCTCCAACAATACGGCTTGCGACAAAGGTGCGGAAGTCAATGGCCGCAACCCAAAGGAGCACCGAAAGCACGTTTCCGCACATGGACGTCAATAGAGCGGTACGTCGGCCGTATCGGTCAGAAAGCCTTCCAATGAGGGGGGAAGCAATCGCTTGCAACAACCTATGCGTCATGGTTAGAGTGGCCATGAGAGGGCTGTGCCATTGGGAAGGCGGTCTTGAATCCAGCGTACGAGAACAACGAGCCCATGGCTCCTCCAAGGAGAACAATATCATATCGGGAGTCGATGGGGCGTGAAAACGAAGCTTTGTATTTGTTCAGGCCCCCGAGAACCTGTTGCAGCAATGTTGGCGGCCCACCCGGGATCAGCGACGGCGCTTCTCGATCTCGATAGAACTCCAGCAGCTTGGGGAAGAGTGGAAGAATGAATGTGAAGGAGATCTAAAGCCAGGAGACAGGACAGAGTTAGGAGTCGCTACATTCTGCCTAGCTCACGGGAGGTGATTTATACCAGATCCAACAACAGCGACAACACAATCACCTTCAAGACTCTCTTCCTGGTCGCAGGATCCACCGCTGCCATGGTGGCAATTTCGATGTGCAAGCTCGTACGTGATGTAAGCGTCGAAACGGTCGAGAGAGTCGCATGTGTCAACAGAGCCAGTCAACAACCATGGAGAGAGGGGCAAGAAGCTTCGTCAGTAGTAAAAAGAGAAGGATGCGCAAGTTTAAATGACGACGGACGCACGGAGAATATCAGACACGAAACGAAACCTAAGGAGGTCAGTTGTCAGACGGATGGATCCGCAGAGATGCGAATCGGGAACAAGCAGTGGGCCGCCCTGACCTCCCCGGGACTCCTTGGCCAACGGCAGAGGCCAATCTGATTGTACATGATGACCGTGACCCTGCGGGTTTGACGGGCTGGGGCGAACACCAAATCCAGGGGTGTCAAAAGTGATGGGCGAACAGCTCCACTGGAAACTGGGCCGTTTCGTCGTCGGGTCCCATTCGTACCTGAGCAGTTACGTCGACACCCCGTCTCAAAACTCCCAGGACTCTCTCTCTCTCTCTCTCTCTCCAGTCTATTCTGAAAGCAGCTCAGAGGGAAGCACAATCGTCTTCTAGATGCCCCACGAGTACCATATGTTTGTTCCAGTCTAATACTACGAGTTGCACTCAAGAGCCGCATTAATTCCCGCACGAGGGCTTGGAACGCCGAGGAATGTAAAATGATTGAATTGGCAGCCACGGCTGTCGCATTTCTCGATGCGCGTCTTCTCGAATTGTGTGGTCGCACCGAATCGGAATATAAATGGCATGTCTTGTATCAAGTACGACACTACTACCAGGTTGCTCAGGTCCAGGATTTCGAACAAATAGCCGAGAACAACACATGCAACATCAACGGGGTGGTACGGACGTCATTGTGTTATGCAAGAAGCTTCTCGAGCTGCTCTGCCAGTCCGTTAAGGCCACCTTCTTTAGATCCTTGATACAATCACTCACTACAACAATCTATTAGATGTGTATCCCAAACCCTTTGAGGGAAAGCAACGCAACGAAGGCGGCTGGCTGGTCCTGACCATCCTCTGGAGGATTTTCCGCTGATAAGTTTCATGAAACATTTCATCATTGGATAAGTTTTTGGAAATGCTAGGCTTAGCAGGTATGCGGTCCAAGTATTTAACACCATACTGCGCATTATTTCCCGGGAAGCTTAGGGTCTATACCCATTGGTCAATCCAACCCTATTTCGTTCCACAATCATCGTTAACATCATTAACTACATAGGAGATACTGGTCAAGCTATTATTTGACCACCATGGTACAAACAAGGGCTTACTAGATTGCGCATATTATACCCCCCCCCCCACCATTGCAGCCGCCCATGACATACTCTCAAAGGGTAACATTGGCAGCATTCCCTCCCAAATATTTACTTTCGGATGAATCAAACCTGGCGACACTCAGGACAAATCGTATGCCCTCCGACCCCTGGATTCGTGTTAGCCAACGTCCCACCACATATCGTTATCTTGGCCTGTGGGCTGTACCTTGTAAGGGATGGGGATAAAGTAGTCAGACTCCATTTGACAATCTCGCGGGGTCGTTTCGAAAATGTTCAAGACTCCAGTATCTCCAGGACGGACATCAACACCATTTCCCCACTGACGGAACAGTTTGGCCAGGACCAGGTACATCTCCGCTAGCGCAAGGGCCTTACCCAAGCAACTTCGCGTTCCACCACCAAATACTGTCAGATGTTTTTCAAGTCGATCCCCATCGTTAAGCCAGCGCTCGGGTTGGAAGCTTAATGGGTCTGGGAATATGTCTTCGTCCATGACAGCCATATACGGGCTCATACTAACCACGGTCCCTACAGGGATTCGCCACTCTCTCATCCTCTCATGATCATGAAGAAGAAATGCTTCATCCAAAGCAATTCGGGAAAGCCTTCCACTCGTACCAATACTGTGGCGGAGAGCCTCTCTAACAACGGCTCGCAAATACGGCAAACTTTCCAATTTCGCCAGCGGTATAACTTCATTGGCGTCAGGGATAGCGACAAATAGTTCGTCCCGGAGCTTTCGAAGCGTTGATTCTTGATTGACAAGATGGAATGTTGCCAGTGATAGAGCCCACGACGACGTAAGAGTGCCTCCTTGCACCAGAATTTGTCCTTCTTGGGCTAGCCTGGCCGGTGTCTTCTCACAGTCCGGAAGGTTCTCTGAAGAGAGCAATTCATGCAAAATGGTTGGGTGGCTCACGTCCAGCTTCCATTGTCCTGTATTCTCTGTCGACTTGACTTTTTGAATTTGCTGAAGGATATCGTTCTTCATCTTCAGAAATCCTGACCAGCCTAGTTTGGGGTTAGCATCATGTTGGGGTTTCGGACAATCACGTTCATACCTGGAATCCACCGTCCCGAAAGAGGCTCTGGCATACTATTTATCAGGGTGAGAGCCCAATTTGCATGCTTGACGATCAGTCCCATATGAGTTCCCATCAATAAATTGTCAGTCACCTCGCGGCCAAAATCCGGGCGTTCAACTATAATGTTTTGTTAATGATGCTTCGCGAAACATTTGGGCAGAGTGGGACAGACCTAGGTGATCGCTTCGAGCAAATGAATATTCATTAATGACATCTTTACACGCTCAAGTTAGTTATGCTGCTGACCAGTAACACTTCACCATTTCCAAAACACATACCGTTCGTGAAAGCCGAGAAAGGATACATGATGTTGATTGGCATGCCACATTGAGTAGCGGCATACTTGTGGAAGGCTTCAAGAAGACTATCGACTCGTTCTTCGATAACTGGTTGGAGATTTCGAACACTATGAGTCGAGAAGAATGCATTGAGAACCGACCGGCGCAGCTTGTGGTGATCATGATCGATTGTTGCGAGGGAACTATCTATCAGAGAGGTCAGATATCTATATCTGGGCAGCAAACTCCCTGCTAATAGTCTTACCTGGAGCTCCAAACTACAACAGCTGAGTTAACTTTTACATTGCTGTCACAACTGGCCAGGGACACTACTCGCCTGTTTTGTCCAGAACTTCCACTTTTGTCGAGGCCTGGTTGGCCCTCCAAACAAATCAGAGTGGAAGTCGTGCTGTCTAACATGCACCTCCCAAGGGTTAATACGGACCACAGAACCGTACTCTTTATGCAGTTCCATAATCTTGAAGGTGTATTTGCCGCCGAGGACAATATCATAATATAGCTCATAGTACTGCGTCAGGGCCGCAAGTCTTGGCCCGGGTATGTGGGCAATAGGGCTGAGCCAAAGCCTCTGCACAGCAAGAACAGTAGCATATCCGAGCCAAACGACGAAAACAACGGCCAGGGTCTGTCCCCAGGTGATGGTTGACCAGCAAGTGTAGATAGCCATATTCGAACAAAGGAATCCCCGGGGAACCCAACCAGAGTAGGAAACAGGATCCTGCTCAACCCCGAAAGCGCCAGGTTATATATCCCAGGTTCGGCTGAAGTTCTATCAACTGCCGACAGGATCCAGGTGGGGAACCAAAGCACTATCCCGTTCGATGTGACAAGTCATTCGAGGAGTTGCAAGTAAGGTTAGGATAGGAGCGCCACTCTGAAACCCTGGTTCCGCCACATCGACATAGCAGTTGCAAGAAAAGCCACCTCGTGGTTCAGCTCTGTCGTCTTCTTATGTCTTTTTTGTTCACCACATTCCGACAGGCGCCAAACGGATCCAGTCGTTATCCTTGTCATCGTGCCATTGTGGAGCGTCTTCCCAAGCCTTAAGAGGCGGTGACCCCCGTCTGGACAACTTGGGACTCAGAAGACGGCGGCATTTGCGGCTCAAATCATAGGGCCCCGGCGGAAGACTGTGTACAAGACGACAAAAGTGCGAGCCCTAACGGCCGAGAAGGAAGCGGGCGTGTTTCTTTATTGAGACAGAGACAGGCTCAGCGATGATATTCGAAACCCCAATGCCTAAAATAGACAGGATGGCCCGACACGGCGGACATGATTTGTGTCAAGCGGCCGAATCTACCTCGGAGAAAATGGGACGGCTCATGCAAGTGAGTTGTGATGATGGAAAGCGGCGAAACGCACAACATCCAGTTGGGCATCGAACCGCCCAGCCCAAATGCCGAGATGAGTTGCATGATGGGTTCGTCGACGCCAGCCGGGCACGGTTGTGCTCATTCTCTAATCCTGACAAGCCAGACTGCTCAAGGAGAAAATAAAAATAACATCCAAATGGACGACGCGTAGTACAGGGACCGCCGAAGTTCCTGCCTGCATATTTGACAGCCCTGGACAACCAACTGCAAGGGGACTGACTGACTCTTCCCAGAAGGGAACCAATTGGAATAAGCGGCGTTCCGGAGTTGCCTGCGCTTGTTTCCATATAGGATGGTAACACTGCTCGAGCCCTAGGCATTCACAAAGATGATTGCAACCTAACATCACACATTGGTTTTCTTCCATGGGAAAATTTCATCACTTGTCACCATCCTATTATACGCCTACGGGTCCGAGAAGAGGTGAAAACGGCACACAGCGTCTTCGTGAAATTGGAAGATCGGCACCAAGCAGCGTCGCACTACAGTTGATCGCTGCCTTCGGTCAGAACGAAGCCTCAATTGGGCAGCGATACTCCAAGTTACCACGTCATTCTACTATTGAATTTTCTCATGGACATGTCGAATGGAATAGTCTAAATGGTGAACCGTGAGCGGTGTGAGTTACAAAATGTTGTTGGGACGCCCGAGTCTGCCGGGGGCGAGCTTCATATGTTGCTAGATGGGAGGAGAACCCTGTAAGTGCGGCTTACTTGTTTGTGTGCTAAAGCAGCAAAACTAGTATGACTCCAATAACTAACTAATAAACAGCAAAGCATCAGTGATGTCATTGACCAATCTCGGGTGTAGAGACGCAAAGGGTAGTGTTCGCTCACAGATTTCGCCTCCCGTCACATGCCCACGGTAGTAGAGTCACAGACATCCAATAGAGTCAAGGAATTCGAACAACGCTCCCAGATCGAAACCAAGTTCGGGACCACCCACCTGCGAGTCCAAAGCTAACCATTCCTAGAATTCTTCTCCGTGCCACACGTCGTCACACAACATGCAGGCTTATCCCCCAGCTCGCCAGCCAGTTCATCTATCTGGACTCCCGTGGCCCTTTCATGTCAAAACATGACCTCAACTGCGCTCGTCACCCGGGCTTCACCCCTCCAAAATGCTGAGAAAATAGAGAAACCGACTCATGTAACCATACCCTATGTCGAGTAACAGTGGCATCAACTGACGTGGGAGACGGAGCAACTCCGAAGGACCCCGATAGGTTACGGTAGGTAGAACGGTCGATAAAAGGAACACCTGATGGTTGCGTGGATCGAATGAGGTATATCAAAGCGTGCAACAGGTGGTTTTCTTTGCTCGGAGAGGGCGGGCTGTGTCGCCGTAGGGTACGTGTGATCGGGGAAAAGGACTGATGGTGGTGGCTTTTGTGGAAGGCGCCAGTGGTGGCCACGGGAGATGGGGGCGATGTGAGACAACAAAGGAATAGAGATTCGATTTTCAGGTCCTAGGAAAGAGAACTTCTGAGAAGCGGTGAGGTTCAAGACAACCACTGAGATTGATGTTAGACCTCTGCACGAGATCCTTTGTAAATGCGCGGATGGGCTACCCCCCTCCGGGGACACAGGTCTAAATTGGAAGATCAAGTCAGTATCCCCATCCATCTCCAGCAACAAGCCCTCATATTTGTCAATGCGTTCAATACGTTGGTCGGCATAGAAATGCCGCAACTGTCGAGGCAGGTCATAACCCTGTTGCACGCGCAAACAGAACAATCTCCAGGACAAAGGCCTACACTACCCGCCGCTTCAAAACAACTTGTCCCCCCCCCCCCCCAATACATGGTCCATCCAGCAAAAAGGACCATCTCTATGTCTCCCACACCCGTCATGGCTTGCAACTCCACAACTTCGTGCCGTGCCGTTTTCTGCGAATTCAGTCCCACTTCGGCGCCGCCGCCGTGTCCCCACAACTACCCGCGATGCAGATATTTCTCCGATATGCTTTGACCGATTCCAGCTTGACATTGACCGGTCAAGGTTGAAGCTGTGCTCTGCCGAGACCGGTAACTGAACTTGTATCCCTCTGCGAGTAGGCCTGAGCGGCTTCGTCGCGACATTTCCCCCAAGCACGTCTGGAAATCAAGTCCCATCGAATCGAAAGCTTCGGCAAATTCTAGAATTCGTTATTATTTCTCCATTGCTGGATGCTATGTAAAATCTGCGTCCTGAGACGAATATCATGTGTATGATCGAGAGTCTATGTCTTTTTGTTCCCAAACATATCAGTGTCGGTGCTGTTTTTCCAATTCCGTTCGAAACCCCAGTCTATTTTTTTGTTTTGTCCGTTCCCAAGTACACCCAATATTACACAAGGAGAGGTCAATTATTTTGAAGAAAAGCGCCAAATCAGAAAAACTTAAAAAACAAGGGCGTTCGGATAAAAAGTATCGCGAATGCGTACTAGGTCGAGGGCGTTCATCGATCGATGCCGTCGCGAGCCTGTCCCATCTTGGTTAGTTGGACTGCCGACACAGTTGGAGAGACATCGCGCTTACCTGACCAGGTATCTTGCTTGATACAGCGCCTCGGGGCAGATTGCCCGGCGATAGGTCATCTCAATCAAGATGTTCGACCTTTCGGGGGCTTCGGGGCATTCGGCTTGGCCACGCCGGTTGTGTCGTATGGACCACGAGGCATTTTGATTGCGTTAGGCTGAGGAGGATGTATTGGGCAGTCGGGAAGAGGCAGGGTCCAGATGCTTGAAGGGTGACGAATTTAGGTCTCGTTAACCGTGGCTACCGCCTGGTATTTATACCCCAAGTGTTGATGTGTTCTTTTGATCAAAAGGGCAGTTGTAAAGAGTCGGCGATGACTTTTGCCGTGAAGCGCGATCTTTGTTAGTGAAGTGAGACGGAGGAGAGAGGGAACAATTTTGGAGGATGTGTCTGAGATTATAAACCACTCGCCTGATCGTGTGCCTAATGCCAACAGCCCATCTTTTTTTTTTTTCTTTACGTCCTTGGGCTCTTCCCCCTTCAAGGCTCTCAACAAGGTTTCTTGGGTTGGTTCCGTTTGACCAGGGTTGTGCACGAGCTCGCGTGGCTCTCTCCATTTTCCAGGACCTCTACTCCGTGGCCGGCTAGGGACAAACGTCAGGGGAGCCACCAGTCTCTACCCTACTCGAGATGAGCAATGCGTGCTCCGTACAGAGTACTTTGGTATGACTTGGAACATGTACTCCGTACCGGTTTTGCGGTCTACCCTAGCGGTCAACCAAGTCCTTCCTTGCCCCTGGCCCAGGAGAGCTTTTTTGGGTCAAATTGGGTAAAAGGGACCACCCCTGTCAAGGTGTGTGTTATGTGCTCCGTATGGCTGGCGAGAACGGTGCCCTTTTCTTTTCTTTCCAGGTTGGATATTTCTAGACCGGGTCCGCGAAGAGCTATGACGGTGGCTATTTCGCTTTCCTGACAAACGTTGCGGCTACCTCTGATCGCCAGGGGCCTTGTTTTGCCATCCTTTTTGGAATTCAAATGTTTACCTCTGTCTGGGAAGCCCAGTTTATGGTGGAGACTTTTGCAGCTATAAAACCTACGAATCCTGGGGGTTAGCAGGGAACGATGTACTTACAGATGGCAGTGATACTATGCGATTGTACAATAAACAAGGCGAGGCAAGAGGGAAGAGGATATTGAACACGCTGGTACACGTTGCCCGTCGCCTGTTTCCAGTTTCTTGTTTCCCAGTTTTTCTGTTTCCCGGTGCGCAGGCTGGAACCAGCTTAGCGAAGGCGATTGGCAGGGCCAGGTTCACGAATCAATGCCTGTACATGTGCCCAAACGCCAACGCAGGTCTCTGGCTACTCACAGTTGTTGGGACCTGGGCTGGTAAGACACAGATAGAGGCATGAACACAGTGGTGTGTGACTTGGGCCATGGTGTTTTCGCTGTCTCATTTCGCTGTCTCGTCCCTCGCTGGCGGTCGACGATGGTACTCCGTGTGTAGATACTGGTACTGGCATTGATGTTCATCTTCGCTTTCCACGAGGGCGCAGGCTCTGGCCTCTGGTCGTCAAGGCTCAAACGAAATCCAGACTGCATGAATCCTTCTAGAAACAGATGTGGACACGGTGGAATCCATGCTGCACACCAACTCACCAGCCAGCCGGGCCGCACACCGCACGCGGCAGTGAGAAGAAGAGCCATGGATGGGGGGACCTTGAAGTGGAGTGGACGAGCAAGGTGAAGAAAGGCATCGAGAGCGTGCAGTGTGCGGAGCGCTGAGCGCAGAGCAGGGTGACATTGCAGAAACCTCGTGAACTCTGGGTTTAGATG